GTAGTTAGAATAGCGAGGCTAGCGAGGGCTAGCGACTATTTAGCGACATAGCAGTCGCTACTGTCTGTAGGAAGCGTGGGATGCTATGGAAAAAGTAAGCGCCGTTGCCAACTTTCCTGATGATGTAGTCTATATACCGACTCCTAGTGACTCCGTACTTACCTATCCTACCTAGTGCTACCTAGCACTATGGGGAGTTTAGCGCGCGTGGCACGCTTTGCTGATGTACTTATGCATCGTGTTAAGCGCAAGGCGCCACTAAGATCTAACTGGCTGAGAGGCAAGAATATTACAAAAAGACAATGCAGTTCCATCGATTTCAAATTAAATAAGCTAGAAATATAAATCGACACGCTTTTCCGCATATGAACAGAAAGTATGGGCATCCTGAGAGAAGATATTCCGAATAAAGCTCATTATTATTTCAGGGCAAATTCCGTTCACTCTCATACAGACCGTATCCGCTGCGTTTGACCTCTTATCATTGGGTATATTTCCTTCCAGCTTCCGACTGTATATCGAGGAACTCAAACAACGAACGCTAATGAGAACTCTCGTTAATGAAGAAATGAATATATTTCTCAGTTGCACGGAGTGTGAATGAAGGGCTACATCGATGTATATGACGTGTTCTCATATCTAATAATGATGTGATCTATAGTTTGGGATCGTGAGCGGCTGCTCAAAGAACCTGGCATATGAATTCCAAGCAGAAAATAATGCTTGAGTAATGGAGACATTTAAGTGACAGAAAAAGTGTACCTGGAGAAATGAAGTCCACAATTAAAAGTTCAGGAGACTGAGGATTATAAGTATGACTGCGCTTGATATATCGTGATAATTATCTCCTGATCATGAAAAGAATGCATAATGTTTTAGGGTTCTTGTCAAAAAAATGATAGCATAAAGAATATTCTACAATCAGACACAATATTACTTACTCATATTTTTTATCCTTGAATGTTGATAGCATCCGTATTATGAAAGTACCGACCAGACAGTTAATAGGGAAAAATGCGCACAGAGTATCTCATGAACGGACAACCACGAAGGTGTACGTTCTGCATCTAGGTAGCCGTTTGTGAAAAGTAAGAAGGAAAGGTGCCGTGCGGTGCCTCTTGGAACTATACGTCTTATATACCTTTTAGATGGCTAGTTAGAGCTTAGTCAGAATCTGTTTGACACCCACAGCACACAAGGTCTGTCTCGTTTTCGCGATGAAGGAATGATATGAGAAATTGTTAACCAGAGAGCAGGCTAGTATTACAATAATACTACAGGAATGGGATAACTAACAGGGAATGGCACTAATGTTGACTCGTTTCTCCGTCATCGGCGATGAACCTTACGGGTTTGTTACATTTTTGAATCATCGAAGCTAGCGTCCTTTTCTCCATTTCTATAGCTTTGGCAAAGGTTTCTGATTTCATAAGGATGTCGTAGTTCAGCTTGATCACTTGATTGATAAGTTCCTTATCTGTGAAGCTATCGTGGATCATCAGAATACTTTCTAGAACCTTGTCCGGTACGTCATGAAGCCACATAGAAATATCCGATTCATTGATGGGATGTTCGCTGATCATAAGGATTCCTATCGATTCCATTCGTGGATCTGGATTGGGAACAGTTCTTCCGTAAGTGATCTTTCCAGGGGAACATATCATCGATGCCCCCACTTGTTGCCAAGCGGAGAATGGATGACGTTGGCCTCCAGGGTCATAAAAACAATGATGTTGACTAAAGGGCAACCGAACCCAGATTGTTTAATTTTTGGTTGTAGACTGTCTTAGGGAGCAGGGGGTTAGAATACACTATGCGTAGTTGAGGAAGGAAAGGTATGTCAAACAGGTTGAGGCAAAATTGAGCTCTTTTGAAGCATTTTAGGATTTGCTGCAAAAACTACAGGTGAGGTGTTAAACAAAGGTGATTCCTTAGGTTAATGTACTAATTGCCTGCCTGTAGATGTACTCCGCCCTGATATCTTGATAGTTTGGAATGCAATCATGTCAATTAGCGGCTTAGAGTACACAGTGACGTACATTAAAGATACGGTTTAGCATTATGGCGAGAAACTCCTGAAGTAGAGGTGCTCTGTCCTGATACTAAACATCGGGATATGTTCGCGTCAATGAGCGGCATAGAGTACATAGTGATGTACATTTGCAATATACTTCACCTATTAATCCTTTCTTCTGAATCCAACGGTCCCAGCAATGAATACTGTGACTCCGAATTCTTCTTCGGTTCTTCCAATGGCAGTAGCTCACCGTTCTTCCTCAACCTCTTCAAAAGCTTTGTTGCCATCAGTGATTTCCGTAGCTGAGTGATCCTCCTCCTCGACGAAGTCTGGGGGTCCAACTGCGACGTCACTGCCATCAGCGATTCCCGTAGCAGAGTGATCTTCTTCCTAAGCTCGGGGTGCAGCTGCGGCGAGACTGCCATCCGCATGGAAGATCCTATGTCGTTTCCACCACCACCATCATCCTGAATGAATCTTCAAAACAGAACGGGTGATGTGATATGATTGTTAGGCTTATGGATTCAAGAGACAATGGCTGCTGTGCGTGACAAAGTATGATACCTTGAGGCAAACATGGAGGTATGAACCGAAGGTACACACACAATGTTGTTAGAATAAT